CCAAATGTCCCAAACTGAACTATCACCTTCCTGCCTCCCTCTGGTTCCCCACATGGTGAACGGCCCCGCCCGGTCACTCACGCTAGAAACCCAGCAGTCATCCTGGATTTCTCCTCCCTTTCACTCCATATTCAATCATCGAGGTCTACCAACTTTTCCTTTTCGATACTTCCCAAATCTAGCCCCTCCTATCCTAACCGCTGCCGTCCTAATTAAATCCTTATCTTCTCTCACCCGGGCTATTACAACCTACTAATCTTTCCCTCTTTAAGGCTTTGTCCACAGAGCAGCCAGAGGGCCCTTTCTAGAGAGTAAATCTGATCATCACACTCCCAGGTTGACCCCCTTCAAAGGCTCTCTGATTCCTTTACAAGGTCTTAGTCATGGCCAGCACCTCCCTCTCATCTCCAACCATTCATTACCAAGCATTTGATACCTCCCTGATTTTGCTTCTACTCCTGGGTATGCCCTTCCCAACACTGCCCGACTCCAACTCCCTCTTCTCAGACTCGGCTCAGACATCATGTTCTTCAGAAAGCCTTCTCTGAACCCCAGAATGAACCAAGGGCCCCTTCTTTATGCTCCCAATGGCAACTCTACATATCCCCAACATAGTTATAAAGTATTTTATTCAAAATTAAAGGTGTATGGGTCTGTCACCCCCACTAAACTCCTCAGGTTCCAAATTCACTTCATTTCCACTGTGAAAAATGTACTTGAACTGGGATATAAGGGCCGAGTGTTTTGGTGGCAAGAATTGCAGACATGGAGATGGGTGGTCAGAATGCAGGTGGGGTCCTTCAAACACAGGACTGGGTTTCCACTAATCAGGCCAGGTTTGGCATCCCTACAGGCAGGTGGGCTGACGGACCAGAACGCCACACCAAGTGACTTCTAGCTCTGGGAGTCTTTAAATCCCTTCAAGCAAATTCCTCAGAGGACTCCAACCCAGGCTATGGCCCCAGAAGGAAAGAGAAGGAAGGTCTGAGAAAAATCCCACAGGCCCAGTTCCCGAGGCTCTTCCCAGACTGGAATTCACAGGAGGAAAGCTGAGCTACCCCTATGGAACCACCATCCATCCCCTGGCTCCTGGCCAGCACAGCACCAGACTGTCAGCTCACGCCAGGGGGCCACGCTGAGAGCTGCTCCTTCCAAAAGGCTCAGGGCTGGGCTCACATTGATGCCCAGGGATCCACTGTGAGGAGGCAAGACAAGCAGCATCCCCCCCAGGACCAGGAGAGCCACCCCCAAGGTGGAGGGAAGGTTCGGAGCAGAGCAGCAGCCAGGCACAGGGGAAATCAGAGGGAAAGCGGGAAGGCAGAGCAACCAGGCCCCACAACCGGGAGCTGGAGCGAGCACCCAAAGGTCTAACTCAGTGGTTCTCAACCTTCCTAATGCCGCGACCCTTTAATACAGTTCCTCATGTTGTGGTGACCCCCAATTTCATTGCTGCAAATTGAACATAATTAAAGCATAGTGATTAATCACAAAAACAATATGTAATTATATGTGTGTTTTCCGATGGTCTTAGGCGACCCCTGTGAAAGGGTCGTTCGACACACAAGTTGAGAACCGCTGATCTAACTGCATTTTCCAGGAGGAAGGGCAGTGCAGAGTATTTCAGGAATCAGTCTCAAGTTTCCTGCCTCCCCCTTCCCTAATTCAGTTCCCACCCTGCCAGCCTCCGCTGGGCTGACAACTTAGAAACTGCTCTCCTCCCTTAGTCCCCAAGGGCTACTCGGGATTCTGTAACAAAGCAAATATCCATGTAGGTCCCAGGACAGAGGTGGGTGGAGAAGGGCCTGGGCCTCTGCTACTCTGCAGCCCATCCACGAAGAGGTGGTTGGGCCAGTCCTGCTGTGTCACACACCCCTGGGCGCACCCACGCGCTGTGTTCTAAATGAATGACACCCTTGGCCACAACAAAAGAAGTGAATGGCGCCTCCGGAGTTGTGCACCCTGGTGGCCCTGTCTGTGTTCGCTTCTTAGTATCCATCTCTCAGCGAGCAGATGGAAACCATATGAAAGGTGACTTTAGCCAGTTTCCTTTCACCACCTGCATGCACGGCTTGCTAACACTCGCCCGCATGCGCACTCTCTTTCTCTGCTTACCCATTGGAAAGAAAGCTGCAAACACTTCACCCCTAAATAATTCAGCCGGAACCACCTAAGAACTAGGACATTCTCCTATATTAACACCATGCGACCCACAAAACGGAACACTGACACAGTAACATTATTTAATGTATAGTCCACATGCAAATGTTCTCAATCGTCACTTGGGAAGTTTTTCAAACATGCAAATTCCTGGTCCCTCTCCTGGAGGGTCTGACTCAGTGGAGTGGGCCCTGGACTCGGAATGTTGCTACTAGTAAGCCCCTCAGGAGATTCAATTGTGCAGCCAGGTTTGACCCACTCACTAGGGTTTCAGAACTCCCAGGAAGACCAGGGGGGACTGTGGAAAGGAACCCCAAAAAGCACTGGTCAGCTGGTGAAGGAAGTGGACATGCTTAGGGCCAAGCAGGTCGGTGCCAGGGTCTATGCCGCACCAGGCACCAAACTCAGTCCACACAGCTGCCAGTAGATGGCTGAAGGCTGGCGGGGGAGGAAATGGGGTCAGGGCTGAGCCGCACAATGGTTCAGAGTCAAAGGGTGGAGAGAAAGGAGAGGCACTCCCTCCAGTGAGCTGGTTCTGCTCCGTCCCCGAGCCAGAGAGGGCGGGCCCCGGGGGCCAGCACTGCCATCCAGCCGCTGTGGGTGGACAGGGCTTCCTGCTGTCCTGCTGGAAGGAACCACCATATCGGCGGCTCTGCTTTGGATGGCCCAATGGGTCTGGGTCCTCTTCTGTCTGTTTTCTGAGCCACAGAATTGGATCCCAATGGGCATTGAGTACCGGCTACATGCCAGGCGCCATGCTAGACCTATAAGTATTCAGATGAGCTTATGATCTAGCAAAGGTGAAGGACATAGCCATAAATATATCGATCCCCCTCCTAGGGCACAAAGCAGGGAGGATGTTTTGACCCATCTTCACTGGGCAGGGAGAATGGAGAGCTATCAAGGAGGTGATGAAAGGCACAGAGGGTTTCAAGCCCCCGGCCACGGCATCCACCTTTTAGTACTTCTTACGAAGGAAGA